GGGATAATGTAATTTTCGGAGGGACAAATCCCTCCAAAAATTATTCAACATCGCTGACAGCAATCTTACAATGCTGACGGCAACATCCCTGACAGCAAGAGGCGCCAAGGATGTAAACAACACTAACGGCAAGCTCCCGTCAGGGATGTTGCTGTCAGCATTTCAACAAATTCTACTAGTGATTAGTTGAATATATAGATGGAAAACTAAAAAAATCTCAACCTAGTTATTGATAACAAACCTAAACACGTTACTAGACATCTGAAGACCAATAGTGTTCATAGAACGGAAAAAGATTAATATAGCATAAACAAAATCCTAAAGCTCTTTCCAACCATGCAGAACAAAGATCAAAGAAGAGCGCGAGAGAGTTGAACACGAAGAGAGGAGCTTCAGAGAAAATAGCAACACTAAAAATGAAAAATCAGGATTAAAGAGAGGCTTCACCACCAACAGGTGACACAGGGGGATCGGATGCACCAATTTGAATCCGGAGTGGTGGGATCAATCCCCGAGACTGTATTTACCTAGTGTTATGTGGGGTTCCAACTCAGGTAGTCACTCTGGTTCAAGCTTCACCCTAACAAAGTTTCCCTTGTCAATAAAAAAGACAAAAGAAAAAAAAAAGCTCATTGGTTTGAGCCGTATATCAGTACCTGTAGTCAAAATCTTACGTTGCACTACCGCGTTTTTTAAAATTGAAATACACGGTTGCACATTCCACCCTATTAGTCTTTTTAAAGATTCCTTTAGATTACCACCGATGTATCTGCAACAAAACTTGTCACTCATCACACTCAATTTGCCTCCGTCAAAAATCATTTGATAACATTGTATACATCCTTGAAGACCCTTTTAAAAGCCATAGGTGAGTTTAAGACTTGCAATCATGGCAGCCCACCAGTTGAGAAAATATAAAAGATTAATAATACACAATTGTTTTATAGATAAAATAGATTATGAGCATTTCATCAAGCTAGTAAAGGGAACAAAAACACTCCAGAGAAGCCCCTGACAATGGATTTTCATGAATAACTATAGACTTTATTCTTTCCAAATATTCCATATCAAAGACACGGATGATGCAAAGCAATAGATAAATAAACAAAATTAAAGTTTTCCACCCACGCTTTATATATCAGTGATGTAGTTCTCAGGCTTAAACCAGAGAGAAAAATCAATCCCCTTCTTCTTCAGTTCTTCTGTTGCAGGACCGATTCTCTCAAGAAGCTGCATTCATTTATATGTAAGAACAAATACATGCGAAAATATATAAAATGTCAAGGATATCCACTCTTTTGTCTCAAAATTTCTGAAGAAAAAAGTTAACGAAGATTAACCTTATCATGAACAATGCCGTTTGAGACCAGAACAGATCGATCAAAGACTGAGAATCTTCCACCATCCATCCGGCTCACAACCCCACCTGCTTCTTCTACTATCTGCTCAAATAAAAAGAACAATAAATAAATTAGAATTTTTATCGTACATAAACTTCTACCTCTGAATGGCGTTAGAAATAAAATCTCTACTCTCACATTTTTGGCGCCAGCTAACTCGCACTTACCTTGTAGTTTCCCCTACTTTGGTCTTATATACCCTCTTTCTTTCTTTTTTTCTTTTTTTAGGCACTTAGAAACCATGAAGTTTTTTTAAATTGGCACTTTAATATATTCTATTGCAAACAAGAGAATATTCCTCCGAATATTTTTATGTGAAACTCACACAGCGTTTGAAAACATGGCATATGCACTCGGCCGCATATGCGGAATTGGCCATTTCCGCTTGGAAATGGGCTGATTTGTTGAAATATGAGGTCAACCGCATAATTGTGATGAAAAGGCATACTCGCCCGCATAAAAATATTATGCGGGCGAGTATTAGTTAGGGTTTGAGTGAGTTTTGGGTTCAAAAATCTGAACTCGCAAGTGTTTAAACCTGTTTTTTAAAAAAGCCCCAAACCCGACTAGTGTTTCTTTCCCCAATTTGCTGGCCTCCCCCATCTCTCTCTCTCTCTGTCTCTCCCACTCACCCCCAC